GAACTCTCTGTGTTGTTCTTGAAAGTTCTTCTCTTTGTAAGATTGTTTAGGTTAGGTTTTCCTTTCCTATCTTCCGCAACAATCTTTTGTATTTATGTGTGTATTAATTCTTGATATAAATCAATAAGAATTAAAAAGTTGAAAAAAGTCTGTGTAATTGTATTCAACCCCCCCTTCTACAATTACTTTCTGTTTATTGTCTTTCCCTTCGGGACTAACATGTGTGTTTATAAAATTTCACTTATATGAACATAGGAAGTGCTACCACTTCTAACAAAAGCTTAGGTCAACTTTTGTAATTGTTCGTGAATCCATGTTGAATTGGCTTATTGACTGAAGACCGGGAGGGGGATTTTTGTGTTTAGTCTTTAAAGTGGGAAGGAATTTGTCCCGCATAGGAAAAAATAAACACGTTTCATCACTTGAAAAAAGTCTAACGTGCTTATTGGATTGATTAAGCAATTGAAACAGCAAAGGGAGTGTGGGCTATTTTGGTTACGCTTTACATATATTAATACTCAAAAGATTAGCACCAGCACAACGTTCAAGCTTCTTGACTGGCTTTTGATTAACTGTTCTCAAGAGAACTTTATTATTCTTTCTTATATAAAATTTGTATGAATAATTTCTGGATACAGCCACACATAATTTTGTAAGCTGGTGCTAATCAGAGGCTCTCTGCCTCTCCTTTCTTTTTCTTATCCCCCTCTTCAATCTAAGAAAAGATGTTCATGGTCTCCTGGAGAATAAAGGATTGCTGTTGCCTTTATTCTAAAATGTTAGGAATTCCTAAGGTGTATTAGCCACAAGCGAAACAGCCTTGTTATAGCAGGAGCAGTAATATCTAAGGACAGTGATCTTTTCTGGTCCTAATCTTGGTTTCTTTCTTGTTTTTTCTGTTTTCCATTGAATATTTCTAACAGATGTAAGTCATAAAATTCGTTTATTTTTGGATGAAAACTCAAAGTTCAAAGTGTAGAATGATGACAGATGACTCTAACCTTTTTCCCAAGCTCCCTCCACGCCATTCATAAGGATAAGTCAAAATATCTGCACAATGACGGAAAAGGGATTAAATTTGAACCAAAAATTGAAATATAGCAATAGATATCGACATATTGTGCTTAAAATCTTATAAAAAATCTACATAATGTCACAAAGTACTGAGAATCCAAAGCACACGGATGGAAACTCTGATTAAAAGAACTCGAAACCTAATAAATTTGGCATATAAAGGGGTCGGAGCTGTGTTTTAAGGAAAGAGGTCAAATCGAAACCAGCAGAATTACAAGAACAACTTAGTATGAATGAACATACGAGCGAGAACGACATTAGATCAGAGATTGAAGCCAAAGAAACTGAAAGAGATATGAGTAATTGTATATTAGAGAAGTCAAAACTTAGAATACGCTTACCTGCAATTGATATACGTTTGGTTATTGCCGCAATCTTCAGAGTGTAAGGAATTTATAAGATGGAGGGTTCAGTTATGGCGGTCCGGTGAGGAGGGGCGGAGGCTGGTGGTGGGTGAAGGGACGGTGGAAGGTTGAGGCTCGGGAACGCAGAGGTTTATATGGAATTATGGAAATAAGTATATATTGTGAAAATCATATAAAAGTATATCAAAATCTTATCAATTACTTTAATTATTATCTAATCGATGGATAAGTAAAAAAAAACTCATTTTTCTCATTTAAAATTACTCAGAGTTGTTTGTTTACTTCTTAATAATTTTATTAAAAACAGTTTATGAATCGTTAAGAGATGAATCTTATTTGATTAAAAAAATATGTCTTTTAATGATTCTAAAACCCTTTGAGTGATTTTGTATAATAGATCCCTTGCAAATAAAGTCTTTTTATGCAAACAAAAATAAAAAAGGAAGATTTGAAAAACCTATCGAATTTCTTGATTTCGAACGATGAGGTCCATGATATCTTTATTAAAATAAATAAATCTCTTGGCTTTTTAAAACCAACTAGATATGCTATTTTAACTTCTAAATTAACGGGTAATTGATCATTTGAGTAAAATGTTTTTAAAGTAAAAGTAAAAAAAAAATTGGGCATCAAAATGTGACCTAAAATTGAAAAAGACGGAATCCCCATAATCATCAACCTTTTCATTCATGTCATCTTCGTTCAGCCCTAGTCATCTTTATGCCGGTGAGGAGATGACCATGTGGGCCCACCATGCAAATTTGAGTTGGGCATTCGATTTTTTACGTGACCATGCAATTTATTGCTACGATTTCTCATGTTCAATGTCTTGATATGATTTCTCAGGTTCGAGTTTACCATAGTTTCCACGTCACATTGAGCTTGCTCTGTGTCATTTACCAAAAACAAGTACACGCTTTCTTTGTGTTATTTATTTATTTTGGACTAAAAGAAGTGTTTGCGTAATATCCTATTCTTCAAAGGAAATATAGTTAGGAATGTCGACATATATGGTTCTTGATTGATTTGGATGCTGAACTTGTGTGGTTTTTTATAGTTCACATATGTTTCATCTTCACGGCCACGTTATTAAAAAAGTTGTTTCGTCACTCGTTAAAATATTAGTAAACTCTAGCTTATATACTTATTGCATAATTAAAACGGTTTATTCGGGACCATTATTGTAACACCCTAAAAATTTAAGGCAAAAGGACTGAAATATGTAACGAAAAATCAAAATTTTATAAAAAGAATTCACCCAACAAAAGGGGTAATAGAAAAGCGTTTACAAATCAGCTACCGAGACGATAATTAACAACCTACAAATCTAGRTTTTTCTATAACTAGATTAAAGACGGGTGTTTCTATCAATCTCCACAAATACCGTAACACTAAAACAAACGCAACGCTCAAAGTAATAAAGGCTTAATCTACAAAAGAGCCTTTCACGAACCAACGTTTCTGTTATAAATCGGTTTCAGACAATCTGGGTTAAGGTAAAATTATACGTGATTAATATTTGAATATCTAATGGTATGCATGATAAAATAATATACATGGATGATATATGTGCAAAGACATGATGAACGTAAGAGGATGCATGCATATGTTATGTTATGTATGTGTATACATGTGATAAATT